CTCAGATAGGCCATATTCCTGTCCTGTACACAGGTGGGAGTGTGCGGGGGAGGGGAGGGTCCCAGCCCGACCCCCTCTGGGTGCCCGGGCCCCAGCGCCTGTGCGAGTCCTCAGATCCCGATGCCAGAGGACGACATGGCCACACAGCTTTGGTAAGTAATTATAAGAGCAGTATTTTTAAAAGTGGTCGCGGTGCCTCGGGCTCGGGGCATAGGATCTGGGGCGCAGCCCCTCCATGCACAGGCGGAAGCCCGGGGCCTGAGCGCCCCCGCCTGGGGGACGGGGGGCTGGGGGACCGCCTGTGTCCGGCGGGCGGGCGGTGGGCAGTTCACCACTTGAGGAAGACCATGCCGGCCAGGACAGCGTAACCCAGCACCAGGAAGAGGACTTTGAGCAGACGGTCACTGTTCTCCTCCAGCTCCTTTGCCAGGATCTCAAAGAAGGTGACGAAGAGGAACGTGCCGCCCGCCAGGCCCTGCAGCAGCACCGAGGCCACGCTACTGGGCACACCCTGTGCGCTCTCGATGCCCAGGCCGATGCCGATGCCCAGGGGAATCATGGCGCTCACGGTGACGGCCAGCTTGGCCGCGTCCCTCAGGGCCATGGAGCACCTGGCCATGCTGATGCCCAGGGCCACAGCCACCAGCGTCTCGTGGACGGCCACCCCCACGAACAGGCTCACCACCTTCTCGCCATCCTCCTGCAGGCCCAGGGCCAGGCCCTCGAAGATGGAGTGCGCCGACAGGGCAAACACCAGGCTGAGGAGCCTCAGCGGGCTAGAGCGCGACAGCTCCTGGACGCTGAGCCCGTGTGCGTGCGGGTGGGGCTCCGCGTAGAGTGCATGGCCCCGCGTGCCCCCCATGAAGGGGCTCTCGTACTCCGAGTCGCTGCCAGCGTCCGAGCCGGCGTTGAAGGTCTCCAGATCGATGAAGGACGGCTTCTCCTTGCGGAACGTCAGGATGAGCTGCTCCAGGAAGACGGTCATGAAGAAGCCCAGCATCACGATGGTCTCGGCCAGCGGGTAGTCGGTGCTGATGTGCCCAAGACTCAGAACCTTCTGGAGCTGGAGCGGAGGATGTGTGAGGGAGGAGAAGGGGGAGAGGGGTTCAGAGGCGGGAGGCCTGGACACTCGCCACCAACACAACAGGGTTTCCAGATCTCACTGATCAGCTAGCAAAGCACAGAAGCCCCCCGTTCACACAAGAGGCTAAAAACGGGGGAAGGTGGACTCACCCTTTGGTGGATTTGGAAAAAACAGCAACAACAACATAAAAATAACCCTATTACAAAGGGGGTTGTGAGGCTTTACGTGACATCTACTAAATCGGCCCAATAACGTTAATTGTGCTGCCGCGGGCTGAACCGTGGTCCCTAAAGATACGTGCACGTGGAACCTCAGAACGTGACCTTCTCTGGAAGAAGGGTCTTTGCAGATGTAATTAAGGTGCTCCCGGTGGAGAGATTCATATCTTAAAGGTTCCCAGCCCGCAGAATCTCCACACTAACCCTACTTGGAGAGAGGCGATTCAGTGACAGTGAGGCTGTTAGGGTGGGCCCTGAGCCGACAGGACTGGAGTCCTTACAGGAACAGGAAAGACACGGGACCACCACATGAAGAGGCAGGAAGGAGAGAGGCCTGCGAGGGACCCAGGCCTGCCGGCATCTTGGTCTCGGACTTCCAGCCTCCCCACTGACCAAGAGTAAATGCTCATGGTTTGAGCTGTGGCACACGGCTACGGCAGCCCCAGGAAACTCACGCATCAGGATCTTGAGACGAGATCATCCTAAATCAGGGCGGGCTCTAAGTCCAGCAACAGTGTCCTTAGGAGACACAAAAGGAAAGGACACACAGAGACACGGGGAGATGGGCATGAGACTGGGGTGATGTACCTACAAGTCAAGGAATGCCAAGGATTGCCAACAAACCTCCAGAAGCAGGGAAAGGGCACAGGACAGATTCTCCCTCACGGTCTCAGAAGGACCCAGCCCTGCTGACACGGTGATCTCAGCCTTCTGGCCTCCATCACGGTCACAGCAACTGGCCTTTGCAGCCCTGGGGCCTGCGTGGGGTTTGCTTGCACAAGGCACCCCGACCTCCTGGGTGGACAAGCTGGGAACGAGGGAGACTCCTCAGACATCCACCTGCACCCCCGCAGATGCCTCGAGCTGGCCCCGTCCAGTAGAGCTTTCCAGTGACAGAAAGGCTTTCTGTCTGTGCTGATACCGATACGGAAGTCACTAGCCGCGCGTGGCCCATGTGGACCTCAGGCGTGGCTGGTGCGGCCAAGGACGGGCATGTTGAACCGTGTTTCATTTTAAGTCACTGAAACGTGACTAGACAGGCCTACAAACAGGCTGCCACTCCTCACAGCTGGGTCGGGTGGCCCCTGCTCACGAGGGTGTGTGTGCACTCCACGCTGGTCCGGCCTGGGGGCTGCAGGCTGAGCTGTCGGCCGTCTGGACCGCGCCCCCTCCACTTTCACTCACGGCTGCACAATGCTCACGTGCACACGCAATTCCCGAGGGCTCCACCTGAGCCAGGCGCTCCAAACTATGCTCGTGGCACCCCTTTCTTTTCTGTCACAGCCTTCGTGACAGCCCGGGGAACACACACACACACACACACACACATACTGGGGGCTATCCTGCCCCAGGGCACACCTGCAAGGTCTGAGGACATTTTGGTCGTCACGACTTGCGACGGGTAGTGCTGGCATTGGGGCCAGGTCATTCTCTGTCCGGGGGCCGTTCTGGGCACCAGAGGGAGGTGGGAGAGGGTGTTGAACAGCATCCCTGGCCCCACCCACCTGATGCCAGGAGCTCCGCCAGTCGTGATGACCTCGGATGTCTCCAGACATCATCCAGTAACCCTGGGGGTAGGACGCCCAGGTGAGACCCCCTGACCCAGTGACCTGCCATCACTCAGTGTCCCCTGGCGGGAGAGTCGTCCCCCACAGGGGAACCCCCACTACCGCAGAGGCCGTGTTTTGTAGAGAAGCCGCTTCATTCATTTGCCAAACATCTCACAGAGGCCTGCGTGTGCTACACCTGGGGAGACACCAGCACGTGGGGAGCACTAACCCCCCACCCCAGGGATGAACACGGATCAGATCAGATCGAGGAAGACAAGGCAGACGCAAAAGCCACAGTGTGCAGCACTGCTCTCTGCAGGGTGACCGTGCCAGCTGAGGCTGGCCAGGGGCCGCAGGGGAGGGACCTGGCCCGCCAAGGCTCAGGTGCGGGCAGGCATGCGGCATGCAGTGGCTCTGGGAGGACCATGGAAGGGCCACATGCACCATCACAGCAGTCTGGGCCTGAGGACTCTGAGATTTTATCCCCCCTGGACGCTGACTGTGTGAGTCTCCCACACTGTGAACAAAGGAGCACGAGGTTAGCAGCGGAAGGCCACAGAAACGTGTCAACTCGCAGCTCTGGACGCCCAAGAGGCAGGCACCGGCTGTGGCCTGCTGATGAAACATGCGGCAGTGTTGGGGAGGCCCACGTGGCCAGGGCCTGAGGGCCATCCTCTGCCAGCAGCCGGGGAGAAAGTAGGCCCCTGGGTCTGACAACCGGGAAGGGCTGAACTTGCCTTACCACCACATGAACTCAGAAACCGACCCGTCTCCTCAAACCTTTAGGTGAGAACACAGCCCACGGATACCCGGAACGCTGTCTGAGAGAGCCCGGAGCAGGGGACCCAGCTACGTGGTGTCCAGACTCCAGCCCCACAAAAATTGTGATAATAAACACGTATCCGGTTAAGATGCTAAGTCTGTTGTGACTTGTTAGGCAGCAGCAGCTAACTGATACAGGTGTTGAAGAGAGGCCCAAACTGCCAGCTTCAGGACAAAGTGTATGGTAGCCATGGTGGGCAGTCTGCTCAGGTAGCAACGGGTGAGCTCGCCAGCGGGGAACCCTGTGTCTAGTTCAAACCCCCTGTTTACCAGACAAGGCCCAGAGAAGAGAAGCAAGCAATGCGCGGTCACACAGCAAATCCATTTCCTGTCACTCTTACAGTGTCAAGGCTCCACCCAGCTTGGTGGCTTTAGTGAAAAAACGTCAGTGACCCTTGGCCATAAGGTGCCAAGGGCGGCGCCTACCCCCGGGGACCCCTTACCTTTTCCCTCACGGCGGGCAGGAGGGCATTGAAGCACGTGGCCAGAAAGACCCCGCCTCCAAAGGTGTTGCAGAGCGAGAGGATCTTTTTTGAGCGATTGGCCTTCTCAAAATCCGTCTCGATGATCTTCACCGGGAGCAGGGAGCCAAGCAGCATGAAGAAGAACACGCCCACCATGCAGAGGACTTTGGCCACCAACAACTTCATCATGGTGGTGGTCCAGGCTGCTCCGGTCACCGCAGGGCCAAACCATGTGTGGGTGCACACTCCCGTCCCACGATGTGCTACTGGGCCCAGCCACGTGGCTGGGGGCTCATGCCTCGGGACATCCGCTGTGAACGCCAGGGGCAACCGCGTCAGCTGTTGGATCACCTGCCCAGCTCTAGTGACCAAGCCCATCACCCCCAGGACCTTGCTCCATTCCAGGCCTGGCCCGCATCCCTGCCTTCCGCAGGAGTATCCACGGCTGCACTGTCCGGTATGGGAGCCACTGGCCACGTGCGTCTATTTAAGCTAAGGAGAAATGAATGAAAGGCAAAATTCGGCTCCTCGGTCACACCAGTCATACTGCAAGTGTCCAATAGCCACACAAGTGCCGTTGCCACCATACCGGACAGCACAGACGGAGAACATCTCCATTGCTGCAGAATGTTCTATCGGGTGGTGCTGCTCCACTGGTTTCCCACTGCCCGTACGTGAAACCAAGCACCATACCCTGTACAGAAGGCCCTGCACCATCGGCTTCGCTCACCCCACATGGGCTTTTGTGGGCCTTGAATATGCCTAGCCCGTTCCTGCCTCAGGGCCTTTGTATGGGTTGTTCTCTTGTCCTGGAACATATCTTCCCCCTGACCTCCTGATGATGTCTTGTCTTTTAGGTCACTGCCTCCGGGATGCCTTGGAAGGGCCTCCCCTGGCGGACCTGTGCCCTAAACTGTATGCCTTGTACCCACCGCGAGTCCTGGTGCAGAACAGATGCTCAGTAACCACTGGCAAGCAAACAGGTGAGCTGAATGAAGCACGTGGACCTCTTTACAGGACTCCACGAACCCAAGTGGTGCAGATATCGCCCTGGACTCGAAAGCGTCACTGTTAGTACGAGGGCCCTTGGCTGCTCCTCTGTCCCTTGGTTTCCTCCTAACCTCCCAGCTCTCACTGCCCACACCCCACTTCACTGAGGTCTTCAGGTCTCAGCTCGGATGCCACCGGATGGAGGGGCCTCTCCCTCCCCTTCCCTGGCGTGAAGTTCTGGCATTATTTGTTCTACGGGAAACTGCATAACTCAGAGTCCCTGAATGCGCTCCCTTGCTCAGGGCTGCAAGCTCCGAGCGAGCTGAGAGCCTGTCTTGCTGGAGGCGGGCCCCCCAGCAGCACCCAGTGCACAGGCAGGTCGATGGCGGGCATCGCGTAAATCCCTGCCGGGTGTCCAGATGCCCCGGTCTGTGCAGTGCGGGTGGGGAGGGGGGCTGTGCGCTCTCAACCCGGGGGCTGATGGGGGTGGGACCAGGACAGCACAGGCGCATTCATTCATTCACTCACTACACACCGAGCGTCTCTTGTGTGCCCGCGCTGCAGCGGGGGCCCCGGGGAGGGCGAGGCCGAGAGGGCTCCGCCCGGGAGGGAGCAACTCGCGCTCTGCCCGGGGGACTCGAAAGCTAATTACTACAGACAGACCTCGCCGATCGGGGGGGAAACCAGCCTCGGGGCCGCAGCCGGGCCTCCGCTAACGGGCGGCCGAGCCGGCCAGACCCCGAAACGCCTGCCCTGGCACCCAGCCCCAGGCCCCCGGTCCCCGGCCCCTGTCCGCACGCACCTCCGCCGGGCCCTCGCCCGCCCGCCGGCGCCTCCCGCCGCTCAACCGCCGCGCGGTCTCGACCCCACAAGCCGTGCTCCTGTCCAGCCCCGGCTCCGCGCGCGGCTGCCCACGCCCCGCCCACGCCGCTGCTCATTGGCTACCCCGAGCGCCACGGGCCGAGTGCATCGTGTCCATTAGCCGCTGTGGTTGCCACTCATCCTGTGGACCCCCCCCCCCGCCACCCCCGCCACCTCTCCTACCGGCATGGGAAAGTAGTTTCCTGTTTCTGAGCGGTAGGTACAGCCAGCAGGTGCCTCCGGCGGGAAACTCCAGCCCTAGAAGAATGGTTCCGGTACGACTTGGCTGCCAGAGCTGTCCAGGGGTGCCCGGTGCTGAATCCCGCTCTAGGGAGGTTTGGCCATTGATGGGAAACCATTTGCTACGGGAGACTGTCTCTCCCTGAGCGTCCACGACGCTGGTGTCCTTCCCTTCAATTTAAGACGCAGATTCATCTGTGTCCACATCCCTGCCTTCTATGTGTTCCAGGGCCTCTTGTAGAAGAACATCTGTGAACAAACCAAGATCCGCCACCCTCCCCACACCCCGCCAACTTTGGAGCTTACATTCTAGGAGGACACAGAAAATAATCAGTAAACATAGTAAGTAATGGAATTATGTCGGAAGGTAACAAGTGCCCTGGGATAAAAGAGCCAATGAGGAGCTATCAAAAGTGCTGGGTATGGGTTGCTATTTTATTTATTTTTTATTTTTTTTCAACGTTTTTACTTATTTTTGGGACAGAGAGAGACAGAGCATGAACGGGGGAGGGGCAGAGAGAGAGGGAGACACAGAATCGGAAACAGGCTCCAGGCTCCGAGCCATCAGCCCAGAGCCTGACGCGGGGCTTGAACTCACGGACCGTGAGATCAAGACCTGGCTGAAGTCAGACGCTTAACCGACTGCGCCACCCAGGCGCCCCTGGGTTGCTATTTTAAGTAAGATGCTTAATGTTTGAGCAAAGGCGAACATGGAGAAGTTAGTCCAGCGGGTATATGGAGGCAGACCATCGCACACATAAGGGACTGAGAATACGGAGGCCCTGGCGGGTCTGTGCAAGAATGCCAGTGTGGCCAAAGCACAGGATAAGAGGACATGGGTCACAAGAGGCCTTGGAGGGAAATAAGGAGCAGTTGCAGTTTTGGTCAGAGACGTGACAGATCCAGCATCTTTTAACACAATCATTTGGTTATTGTATCAATGCTGCTGATAGTTTTTAGACAGAGAGAAGATAATACTTTTTTAAAAAGCTTGTTTCACTGCCCTATAAAAACAACCAGAGTTATGTGCTCACTTCGGCAGCACATATACTAAAACAAGAATTTAAAAAATTTTAAAAAGCAATAAGAGTTATAAAAGAGAAGACTGTATTCATTTGTTTACTAAAGTCTTGTTGTCAGCATACTATGAGCCAGGCATGGAGAGAGCTGCTAAGAATAAAGCACAGAGTGCCACGGTGTGGATGGACCCAGAGGACACTGTGTGCAGTGACAGAAGACAGACACAGAAGGTATGTCCTGTGTGACTCCACGCACAGGGGGTCCCTAGAGGAATCCCATCCAGAGCACTGGTGGGATCCAGTGCTGGGACAAAGAGCGGGGAGTCAGTGTTTCATGGGGACAGAGTCTCAGTTTGGGGAGATGGAAAGTTCTGGAGACAGATGGTGGGAGTGGCTGCATGACAGTGTGAGTGTTGCCTGATGCTGCTGAACTGTGCCCTTAAGAGTGGTTAAAATGGTACATTTAATTTTATGTATATCTCACAACTAAAAAATTTTAAATTTCTTTTTTAAATGTTTGTTTATCTTGAGAAAGAGATAGAGTGTGAGCGGGGGAGGAGCAGAGAGAGAAGGAGACTGAAAACCCCAAACAGGCTCTGCATTGACAGCTCAAACGAGGGGCAAAACCTCACAAACTGTGAGGTCATGACCCGAGCCAAAGAGTCAGATGCTCACCTGAGCCACCCAGGCACCCCCCCCCAAATTTTCCATTAATGGAGTATAAAACGAACCCTAGGTCCTCACAGTTCACAGTCTAGTGAGAGAGACAAATATAAATGAATTAATAGCACACCACGATGGACAGATTTCTAAGATGGCTCCACATGATCTCGACATCCTAGTACCCATGCCTTTGTGCGATTCCCTCCTTGACTCTGGGCTGCCCCTGGGGACTTGATTCTAACAGAATATGGCAGACGAATGGGATGTCACTTCCCTGACTGGGTTACAAAACACCGACTTCTGTCCTCCTAGCACAACTCCATTGCCTTTTCGGCTTGTATGCCTTTGCGAAGCAAGCTGAGATGCTGGAGAGGCCCGCGCTGCAAGGGGCTGAGGATGACCGCCAGCCAACCGTCACCTTCAGTGCAAGAGCCTGTTAAATTACTGGATCCTGCCAACATCATGATCATGGAAGGGGGTCCTGTCTCAGTCATGCCTTCCGATGACCGCTGCTCAGTGGGCACCTTGATTATAGACTTTGAGAGACCCTGAAGCTGAGGCCCCATCTAAGCTGCACCTGGATTCCTAATCCACAAAAACTATGGGATAACAAATGTTGCTGTTTCAAAGCCACTAAGTTGGGGGGGGGGTAGTTTGTTAGGCAGAAAGTAACTAGGTAATGCACATACGTAACGGAAAAACTACCAACTGTACTAAATGCCCTGAAGAGGGGGGCCTGGGTGGTTCAGTCGGTTAACCATCTGACTTCAGCTCAGGTCGTGATCTCACAGTTCATGGGTTCAAGCCCCGCGTTGGGTTCTGTGCTGACAGCTCAGAGTCTGGAACCTGCTTCAGATTCTGTGTGTCCCTCTCTCTCTGCCCCTCCCCCACTTGCCCTCTCTCTCCTAAAAAAAAAAAAAAAAAAAAAAAAAGCCCTGAAGAGAAAGAGTTTTGTGTGCAAACTAACCAAGTCCACTGTGGGTGTGTGTGTATGTGTGTGTGGAATGTAGGGCAGCAGAGGACAGTTGGTATAAACATAGATAAGAACTTGCTGTATTTGAGGGACTGGGAAGTTGGGCTGTTGTATCATTGCCTGCCCAAGTGGATACATAAAATTATGGGGGCACCTGCGTGGCTCAATTAAGTGTTTCACTTCTGCTCAGGTCATGATCTCACCATTCATGAGTTTGAGTCCCATGTCGGGCTCTGTGCTGACAGCTCAGAGCCTGGAAACTGCTTCAGATTTTGTGTCTCCCTCTCTGCTCCTTCCCCACCCACCCCCTCAAAAAGAAACGTTAAAAGATTAACTATCATACCGTTATGCTCTAAGAAAATCTGCCCACCTCAAGTCATATTCTAAATTTTCTTCTATGATCTTTATAATTTTGCCTTTTAAAAAAATTCTGTTTTACACACATTCAAAAACAGGCCACACTAACCCATGGCAATCAACACTAAGGCAGCGTTACCCTTGGGGGATGTGAGGGGAGATGGCTGGGTTCTGCTCTTGGCCCCGGTGCTGATGACAAGGGCATGCTCCCTGCAGGAGAATTCATCGGGCTGTTTGCTCATGATGTGTGCACTTATGTGCATGTGTTACACATGCTTCCAACAGCCACAAGCCGAGCAGAATCTGTGGTTCCATTCTCCGACCTGGGCACAGAAGGGATCTGTATCTCCCACCCTACACTGTACCAGGCACCCCAGGACGGCGGCCTTGTCATGGCACAGCGCCCAGCAGAAAGTCCGTGGCTATGAGGATTTACAATCCTGAAAGGGAACCAGGTCTGAAAGCACAGCTCTGACCCCTAGGGCCATGGCAGTTTCTAGCCTCCTGCCCAGGTGGTTTCAAAAACGGACGTAGCCTCGTTCTTTCTGTCCAGAGGCCGCGCGCCAGCCCTGGGATGGAGGCACGCGGGAGGCCGCGGTGCCGGTGCGCCACCTGGTGGCCCGAGCGTCTCACCCACGAGAGTCCCTTTGAAATCATTGCTTTTCAAGAGGGAGAGGAGGTGGAGGGGTGCTGGGAAAGCCAGCTCAGTTTGGGGTTTTCAAGTCACCCAGGTTGGCGCGCACAGTTTGTACTGCAGACTTACAGGAGCCCTCTAGAGCCAGCAAACAGACTGGTTTCGTGGGGGCCAACTGTTCAGGACAAGTTTACGTAGGGCCCACCAGGTGCTGGCAATACCGACGGTCGTCCTCTGGGGGGGGGGTGCCGGGCACTGCGGGGGGGCTGGTTGACATCCCTGGCCCCACCCCCGCCACGTCCCCAGACGCTGCCCAGTCCCCTAGGGGAAGCACTGACCGCAGGGGACCCCTCAGCATCCTGGGACGGAAACTGGGTGGGCTTGCAGCCCGGCGCCCAGGAGCCTGGGGGTGCAGGGGTGGGAACAGACCCCCGTTTCCATCTGCGGCTGCCCTGCATCCCAAAGCTCCATCCACTCCCGGGAGCTTTCTCCAAGTCACAACTTATGCTAACTCTGTGCTTAATTGCCGTTTCTTTCGCCCCCTCAACGCACCTCTGACAGCAACGTTCAGAAAGATCCTATTTCTACCTCGTGTGGGATCGGGCAGTAATTGAGCGGGACACACTTCTTGTCAAGGCGCGCGGAGAAGCTGCCAGCTTCTGGGAGGAGATGCTGACAGCCGCTCCTTTTCTTCCCCTCATCCCACTCTGCCAGCGGTTCCAACACAAAGTTTCTGGAGCTTTCCTGAACACTTAGGCTGGGTGTGGGGCCGCTCAGGGACGGACACACAAGACAGAAGAAATGAGATTATGTGGGAAGACCGAAGACACGTGTAGATGTTTCCAGAACGTATGGCTGGTATTCACGTGCCAGCCAGTGCTTCTCAGAGCAGGGTTCTCCAAACAGATGCATCAGCACCACTTGGGCTGCCCACGGCCCCACCTGCTCCATACCAGGAGTGTGGTTGCCACGGCCACAGCCATCCTGACGCAGACCGGTGTCCCCAGGGCAGGGCTGCCCTGGTGAGCCCAGAGGAGCCTCACGTGCCCTCGGAGATGCGTGCTAACCTCGTGCTCCCCACGAGAGGGGTGCTCCCCAGGGCAGCTGCAAACCTGGAAACTGGGTCTCTCCACCCATGGATGGAGCAGGTCGCCTGTAGAGTGGGGTCCCCAGGAAGTCCCTGCTGACACAGAGCACTGGGGTGGGGGCCAGGACAAGCCGCTGGAGGGACAACTCCCCTTGCCTGCAGCAGTTATAAAGGGAGGCCCCGGGGGTTACCCAAGGGAGAATGGGTGGACTCTCAGAACACACTAGAGAAGGAACACGGAATAGTCTCCCTGTTCTTGAGAGGCCAGGAGTCCAGGCTGGCCCCTCAGGGGAGGGTTGTGGGAGATGAAAACGAGGGAGAGAAAATACAGAACCAGCCCAGAGATTCACGGTTTCTGGAATCGTCTGTGATCTCGGACACAGAAACTGCTTCCAGCCTCATCACGCCAGGCATTGACAAGATTCACACCCAGCATGTGCCAGAGGTAGGAACTCCAGGCTGGGGGCTTCTAGAAACTGGGGGCAAGAGGGTAAGGGCGGCGCCAGAGGTCAATGCAGAGCTGAGCAGAGGTCACGATGTCTATTTATTCCCCACACGTTATGCTTGTCACCATGGCTAGCACTCAAGAGTTAGGACACATCTTGCCAGACACAGGACGGACCGCGGTGGCTGGCAGTGGCCCGTCTTCCTACTAGTTACCTACGACACACACGGTACTGGGTCTGCTTGCAGACAGCCGACGACACCAGGGAACCTCGAACGATCCAGCTGTCCACGTCGCTGCTGGTACAGCGGGGCCAGTGGACCTGCCCCCCAACCCCCACCCACCGCCCCCAGCAGAGGCCATGGGGATGTCTGAGGTGGCCTTGTGTCCTGGGCAGGTTGCCCACCCTGGAAGCAGCTCTGGTGGCACCAGGGCCCCCTGCCAGCCCCCAGCCCTGAACAGGACAGAACCTGCCAAGAACCTAGACATGCCAGCCAGCAGGGTCGCCTGTGGGCAGAAGGGCAGTGGGGCTGGGACACCCAGCTGGGGACGGGCTGGAAGGTCATGATCTGCCCCCTGGGGTCTGTCGGCCACGAGTACCGGGATGAAAGGGTCAGAGGAGAGGAGACGCGTGTCCATCAAAATGCTCGATCGGAAGTCCCGGTACCTGGTCCTGTGCGCCCCAGGACGGTCCCACCCCTGCTCCCGCTGGGGCGCGAGGCAATGGAAATTGTCATCGAGGAAAATGCATCTGAAGAGCTCCTCACGCGAAAACCCGCAGTCCGAGGGGCAGGGCAGACACTGGCGCCCAGACCGCGGCTGGCAGTGAGCTCATCCGAGCAGGGCGCGGCTGGGGAGGCCAAGGTCGACTCAGAAGTGTCTTCTCACCGGGCTGCGGAGGCCTCTGAAGACCCGCGGGGGCTGCAAAACGGGGCTCTGAGAGCCACGGGTGTCCCTGACGTGGCTCGACATAAAACTGGCTGCTTCCTGGACAGGGGCTCGAGAACGACCCCCGCCCTGGAACAGTCTAAAAAATACTTTAGTGACTGGGTTTTCTGGGAGCTGGTCTGCATTCACAGCTTGCTGGCTCTGTTTCGAGAGGGGTCTGGGGGCCATGGGAGACTACAAACAGGGAAGGAAGGACGAAGGGCAAAATAAAAATAATAAAAATCCATCTCAACATGCAGGTCCAATTTCTTTTTCTTTTTCTCTCTTGGGCAGTCCAAGGGGAGAAGACGGCAAAATGCGAGAAGGCTTCCAGTCGGTGGGAAGGAGCTGGCGATGCTGGGAGGGCTGTGGGGAGAGGACACGAGGGCCCAGTCAGGGTG